GAGCAAGGCTCTTCAGTAGGACCTGGCCACTGGACTAGTATTGTGAAAAACAAAAAGAGAAGAAGCTCTAGTTTAAAATAAACCACTGCACATGGAAACACACAGTAAGCTGTTGCTATCTGGGCCTATTGATGAGATTCCTGGGACCTGGGAGATTCAGCCTAGCTGCGAAACCACCAGCTGAAAGGCATGCAAGGCTAAGAAGAACAGGACTTATCACCTGAACTATCTTCAATAAAGTTTCTGAAAAAGCAGGTGGACGATGTGATTCTGCCCAGCCTCTTGTACAACCATGAAGTCTGGGATTAAGCTATTTAAGATAATATTAAGGATCAACTCTCCATGTATGGTTGCTAAGTAATTGTAGTTTAAAATAAACTGAATAGATGAACAGATATTTATATTAAAGGAAGTGCCCTAGAGGGTGAAAGTTGTAGTTTATGAGAATACTTTTGCTATGAATTATGGTTACAAGTATTGTTTAGGTTTTTTCAAATCACTTGGAAGGCAGAATTGTTTTTACCACTTCGAATTCACCAAAACTTCAAACATGCAAAAGGCAAAAGCAAAAACCATAAGGCAGTTCTCTCACAGGAGTTGGGATTCAGCAAGAGCTAATTAATGCTCACACCCTTGTTAGATTAGAAAGAGAGACATTAGAATTAATTTAATCATGCTGAGGGAAAGAAAGCTAGGCAAGGAATTCAATATTGACTTAACTGTACATACAGTACTTACTTGCAGAGTTACAAATTACAAAATATAAAAATGGGTCATCAAAAGTTTGCTAAAATGTTTAATTTGCATCAAACTGTCAAAGTATCACTGGCATAAACCTTGCCATTAGAATACCACATGCATGATGTAATCTTAAAGACTAAGTTAATATTTCAATCTAATAAACATTGAAAGGGCAACAGTTGTTTAATCTAATTGTTAAGTACTGTATATGTTACATGTGCAGAAAAATAGCTTTGTTCCTTACAAGAAAAAAACAGGGATTGGTCACTAAAAAAATAAAAGAGAACAATCATATAATCTGTTCAATAACAATAGGGTAGGAAGGATGCTAGTTAACAACAATAATAACAGTCTATACAGGAAGGAAATGTATGGCAAGAGAGTGATTCCTTCAGAGAACGGGATTACAAAAAGGGTGATGTTGAAGCATAACTAGATGTTCAAACAGAAAACACACAATCCTGACCACTCAGTAACATAGCAGGTATATTGCAACCAGTATAAGGAGTTCATAAATATACAATAACAGGCTTTTTAACATACAATTTAACTTCAAGTGTACTAAGAATATCAAGCTGCACAACAGTTAGGGTGGTACTTTGCTGAGGATCATCTACAATCACACATTAAATTACAATAGAAAACATCCACTTTTTTTACTCAAGAAAAACAACTGCAACAAAACAGCAATGGACCATGGACAATCCATTCCTGGTCATTACTATTAAAATTTATATCATATTTTCTTAACCCTGTTTCAGTTGGGCTAATACTCTGGGTGGTATTATGACTAGTGTATAATAAGACACACTGATAATAATAAGACATGGTTTTTGGATTCCTGCTCTATGATTTTAAGACTTCCATGTTGCCAATTCTTTTCTAACTACCTACTATTTAGGCTTCCAAGACCACAGTTGATTAAAGGGATGGTACTGTATATGATAAAACCTCAATATTCACAAAATCACCTATTTGCAGGCTGCACAACAGGAGACAAAATGCAGGCTCCCACTTGCACATCTTCATCTCATGGATCTACTTCACCTGACCTGTGTTCACCTCTGTAATAAAGGCACAGCTTGGTTTACAAAGAGTTAACGTTTATGTAGAAGTGCATCATGGTTTCAGCTGGTCACTTTCCGACAGGAAAGCATTAGATGTGAGCTGTGTGCAGGCCTGTTATGAGTCATGCATGTATATAAATGTTGTTCTGCAAAATAAAATAAAAAATAAAATACCTCCCTGGTCCCCTAAGTTATCAGAATCTAAATTCTTGTGTGTCCATCTCAGATCCTGACATGAAGTTCACAACAAACTATTTAAGTGATATACTGTAGCAAAGACCTGGCAGAAGGTTTTGAGATAAGAAAAGACAAAATCAGAATTTTCTGGCCAAAAGGCAATGTATTATATCGGGCACAAAACCAACACAGCACATTACCCACTCAACACTCTTTCTTACTGTCAAGCATGGTGATGTCAGCATTATGTTTTGGGACTTTTCATGAAAAGCTCGTCAAGATGGAGCAAAGTACATTTACATTTCAGTAGGACACTGACCCACAGCACAAGGCAAATGCTACACTGGATTGGCAAGATTTGCAAACTGCTGTCCATCATCAATCCTCAACTAATAATGCTCACATTATAAAAAATGCATACAAATCATTTGTAATTCAACAAAAATGGAACATTACTGGAAGAGGGTGAATGCTTTGTAACCATTGTATTTGTGATTCAGCAATGGCAAATATTGTGCTTTCCAACAACAAAATACCATCAAATCTAAAGCCAAAAAGAACCTAGTCTCAAGAATGCAAAAATTAATCAAGAACCATTAGTTTTCTTATTCCCATACCATTGAATATGTAGGTTGGGAAATTATTCATTTGATTTACAGTGATACACTTTGTGGAGAGAACTGTTTTTTATGTAGTCGGTGAAAATAAGCACAAAACATGAATGGGACTATGGCATTGAGAAACAATGCAGATACCCTTTGCATTTGTAGTGCTAACATCTTGTAGGATGCTACACCATGCAAACACCACTGCAATGGCTCCTACATGTTTTAGACTTTTTCAGGTTTTTTAAATAATTTGTTTTTTAAGTATGTCCAGGGAAGTGGATATAAGGTTTCAACATAATTCAGATACAGTTATCCAGTTCTCCAGTAACCAGTTCTCAATGAATCATTGAATGCCTCTATTCTGCAATTTGAGAAATCCTCTTTTAGGATCATTATCTAAAGGATTTTGAAAATCTCCTTAACAACCATATCATAGGTTCTATCCGAATGAATCGTTTACTCTTGCTGCTGGTTTGAAGGACTCTAAAACGTTGGTTAATCCATAAACATATGAAGAATTGTATGGCCTGTAGATGATTATTTAATTTTGTTCTTATTGTTTTTATAACTTTAGTTTTCAAATGGTACAGTAATTATTTAATTTGTTTGGTTTTGTCATCCTTTTTATGAATGGGAGTTACATTAGCACTGCCTGTTTTGTGTGACTTGTAAAAAAGTTTTGCTAAATAATGTTTAAGTCTCTCCATGAGAGGAGATTGTGTGAGGCTGCAAATGAAACACTGTCATCACCACCTTGGCTAAATCATATAATACAGATTGTATGCAATCTAAAGAAAGACTACCGCCAGCTTATACTTGACATACAGTGGTGTGAAAAAGTGTTTGTCCCCTTCCTGATTTTTTATTTTGTTGCATGTTTGTCACACTGAAATGTTTCAGATCATCAAACAAATTGATATTTTGAAATTGAAATTGATATATATATATAATATTAGACAAACATAACACAAGTAAACACAAAATGCATTTTTTAAATGAAGGTTTTTATTATTAAGGGGAAAAAAATCCAAACCTACATGGCCCTGTGTGAAAAAGTGATTGCCCCCCCTGTTAAAACATAAATCAACTGTGGTTTATCACATCTTTGGAAAGCTGAGTTCAATTTCTCTAGCCACACCCAGGCCTGATTACTGCCACACCTGTTCTCAATCAAGAAATCACTTAAATAGGACCTGCCTGACAAAGTGAAGTAGACCAAAAGATCCTCAAAAGCTAGACATCATGCTGCAATCCAAAGAAATTCAGGAACAAAAGAGAAACAGAGTAATTTAGATTTATCAGTCTGGAAAAGGTTATAAAGCCATTTCTAAAGCTTTGGGACTCCAGCGAACCACAGTTAGAGCCATTATCCACAAATGGCGAAAACATGGAACAGTGGTGAACCTTCCCAGGAATGGCCGGCCGACCAAAATTACCCCAAGAGCGCAGCGATGACTGATCCAAGAGGTCACAAAAAACCTCACAACAACATCCAAAGAACTGCAGGCTTCACTTGCCTCAGTTAAGGTCAGTGTTCATGACTCCACCATAAGAAAGAGACTGGGCAAAAATGGCCTGCATGGCAGAGTTCCAAGACGAAAACCACTGCTGAGCAACATAAAGGCTTGTCTCAGTTTTGCCATAAAACATCTTGATGATCCCCAAGACTTTTGGGAAAATACTCTGTGGACCGATGAGACAAAAGTTGAACTTTTTGGATGGTGTGTGTCCCATTACATCTGGCGTAAAAGTAAGACAGCATTTCAGAAAAGGAACATCATACCAACAGTAAAATATGGTGGTGGTAGTGTGATGGTCTGGGGCTGTTTTGCTGCTTCAGGACCTGGAAAACTTGCTGTGGTAAATGGAACCATGAATTCTGCTGTCTACCGAAACATCCTGAAGGAGAACGTCTGGCCATCTGTTCGTGACCTCAAGCTGAAGCGCACTTGGGTTCTGCAGCAGGACAATGATCCAAAACACACCAGCAAGTCCACCTCTGAATAACTTAAGAAAAACAAAATGAAGACTTTGGAGTGGCCTAGACAAAGTCCTGACCTGAATCCGATTGAGATGTTGTGGCATGACCTTAAAAAAGCGGTTAAGGCTCGAAAACCCTCCATTGTGGCTGAATTACAACAAGTCTGCAAAGATGAGTGGGCCAAAACTCCTCCACAGTGCTGAAAAAGACTCATTTCCAGTTATCGGAAACGCTTGATTGCAGTTGTTGCTGCAAAGGGTGGCCCAACCAGTTATTAGGTTTAGGGGGCAATCACTTTTTCACACAGGGCCATGTAGTTTTGGATTTTTTTTCCCTTAATAATAAAAACCTTCATTTAAAAACTGCATTTTGTGTTTACTTGTGTTATCTTTGTCTAATATTTCAATTTGTTTGATGATCTGAAACATTTCAGTGTGACAAACATGCAAACAAATAAGAAATCAGGAAGGGGGCAAACACTTTTTCACACCACTGTATGTTTGTTTCAGACAGAGTTTTAATGGGAGATGAACTTCAGCTTACAAAAGACTGAAAATAAGTTTTTGTGTAACACAAGTATCAAATGAAATCTTTAAAAATTAAGACATTTCGAGAAAAAAAAAATTTAAATGCGTTGTTAGAAAAATCAGTGAACTGTGAATTTGTCAGAACAGAATGTTCAATCCAAGAAGTTCAGGTGTTTCACTGTTCTCAGTAAGAAGTTTTCTCATTCCTTTTGTCAGAGGAGATGGAACTTTGTATATAACACTGACTCACTCCAAAGATAGTGATGTCTTCAGTATATGATTTGTTTCTTCTGCCGTTTCCAGTACTGGGAAATTCCATGACATTAATTGAAATGCTTATAAAAACTTTCCACAAACGTGTAAGCTTGATATCATTTCTAAGAAGGTTTCTCCAATGTACACAGCTCTGTATGCCAGAAGACCATTCATAAATTAAAAGTTATTTCTTTGTCTTTCTCTGCAGAGATGCAACTATCATGTATTTACACATAAAAAAGAGCAGACATTGTCTAACATCAACAGAAAATAACTTCAGCTTCTTAACAGCCTTCGATTTTAATAATTTAAACACATAAGTAAAGCAACTGAGACTACAGGATATGATGTTTAGCAATGGCTTTCTGTAAATGACATTCTATTTACAGTACATGTGTATAAATTGCTGTCTTTCATTTCAGGTTCTTATTTTTCAAGTATTGTAATAATTAAGATTTATTTCACATTGCTTCTATGAAAATACTTCAGCTCGGCATAGCCATCTTCATAAAATGATGGTCTATCAAAGACTTATTGGCTAATTTTTTAGTATTATTTTTAAGACAATGATTGCTTATTTACACTCATTTAGTATTTTAGGGCACAATGAAATAGAGAATACTTCCTATTAACAATCTGTTAAGCATCAGAATTACAATAAACTGGACTTGCCATAAACTTTGTATGTGTCAATATCCCTTGAGTCATACAGCGCTGATTCACTTAAGCTACCTTTATTTTTCTTTTATCTGTATAGCTCATCTTTTATTTGATGATTGTCACGGCTTCCTACATTTGTGTTTTGATTCTCTTTTGTTTGACACACTCTGAGCTTCTCTTTTGTGTATTAAGTTTTGAAACATATTGAAACAGGCCAGTTGTTTTCCTTAAGTAATTCATTGTTTTAATGAGATTTAAGTTTTTATTGTAATTTGAAAGAAATCTTAAATCTTAGAAAATAATTTGAAATGTTTTACTATTGAGTTTTTAAATAATTTAAGTTACGAAAACTTGTGATACCCTGAATCATGCAGTTGCCAATGTCACGAAGCATTCTTTCAGGACCCTGTGCAGACAACACAATCTGGGGAGGAGTGAGGAAAACACGGGGAAAACAGCATGCAAAGGGGCCGGAAGGAAAACAGGGGGCATCTCTATGGTGCGCTGGTGTTTGGGGGAGGTGCAGCCGAGACAAATAGTTCAAAGGAGTCCGAGGCAAATCCATGAGTGTAGCAGTGTAATCCAATAAGAGATAATCCATCCTGACAGAGAAACAGAGATAAAAGCCGGAGCGGGATCCAACGGCGGAACAGGGGAATAAAATGGGGGTCATGGGACCAGACACTCCCTAATGCCGTGGTGAAGCCTGTGCCGTCGAGTCGCTTCTGGACTCGCGGATAGGCAGGCTTCTGGGCATCCATCTTCCAAAGCTAAGCCCGGATTGGCAGGAATGCCTGGCTTTTGTAGGACAGGGGCAGGAACCGGAGACAGGTGCAGGGAATCAAGAATAAAACTAGGAAGGGCTGGAGCATCCTTAGGAGGAGGGGTTTAAGAGCGTGATGGCCAAAATGAAGGCAATATTAGGGTGCACTGGACCTCAACAGTGTAAAATTACTTTTCAAATAAAGCCTGCATCAGTGCTCATTTCAGTACTTTCATGAGGATCTACACGCAGGTCTTTCTTCTTTGGGTTAAAAGCAGGTCCTGCTTTTACATGATTTTTATAGACCCAGTGGAGGAAAAATATCAAAACTAATATAATCACAACAGTACAAATGACAATTCCAAAAAGGACTCCAGGAGTTACTATATATGTGTCATCTACAGTGTAGTTCGAAGTTGGAGTAACAAAACCACTTACAACTGGAGAAAAGATAGTTGTTGTGGATCCTACTTTTTCTTCTTCAGAAACACACAAAAAATTATTAAGAAGATAAAACCCTTTTTCACAGTAACAGCTGTAACTCCCGAATGTGTTGTTGCAAAAGTGAGAACAGTAGGTGCCAGATTCACATTCGTCAATATCAACACAGTACAAACCATCTTCCCTTTGGTCTAATACAAATCCATCTGGGCACTTACACATCCAGTAAACGTTTGGATCACATACAGCTGGACATTCATATGAGGAGCAATATAGTTCACACTTAGAAGTATTTTCATTTCTTTGCATGTATCCCTGAAAACAGGAACACTTGTAACTACCCATTACATTTTCACATTCCTGCTGGCATACATCATTCAAACATTCATCAATGTCTTCGCATTCACCCTTAACATCTTCATATCCATCTGGGCATCTGCACTCAAAACTGCCAGGCGTGTTCACACACACCTTCTCATGGCCACAAATTCCTGGAAGTTCGCAGTCATCTATGTCTCTACATCGCTTCCCATCCTCTTCCAGCTTGAACCCATAGTCGCACAGGCATGTATAGCTGTCATTGTGATTCACACAGAGGTGTTCGCAGTCTGAATTGACACACAGATTCATTTTATTACAGTTTAGTTTATTACCTTTCAGTTCCTCACCAGGTGGGCAAATACACTCTGGTTTACCATTCTTCATTCTGCACTGGTGCTCACAGCCACCGTTTTCAAACTCACAACTCCAAGGTCCCTGAATCCAGCTATTAGTCTCATCAGCCACACATAAGACTTTGAAATCAGAAGGTTTCAGTGTTGCAATGCTTCCAGGAGGAATGGAGGCGAGATCCTCTCCCTTAATTCCTAAAGGAGTTTTATATAAAATAAACTCATCAAAGTCTTGTGGCAGAGGGTCACAGGTTTTATTGAAATTGTACTCACACAGAAATCCATCCACTTCATCCTGACAAGACCTTTCCTTCCACTTCAGATCGCTGGAAACTGAGACACACTGCCGAGAGCAGGCTGAGACACTGTTTTCCCAGTTGGTAAAGTCTGTGTTTTCATCTTCTGTTACCCACACGTATCCTCTCAGTTTAGCGGTGTTATCGGTGCATCGCCCTGCAGGACGCTGAAGCCCGATCCAGAAATCTGCTTTTGAATTCGCTATTAACACAGCGAGTACTTCGTTTGATACCGATGATCGGACGGTCATTAAATTTCCTTGCAACTCACATTTGTTCTTGGCTGTCTGAAAAGTGGTGGAATCCTGGTTTATGCTGTAGCAGGCGTTTCCTACACAGACACCACTTTTCGCCGATTTTCCCGTTATTTGTAAAATAAACTGAACCGTAGCAAGAATTCTCATTAAACTCTCCATTATCTACAGTACGAAATAAAAAGGAATACATCTGATAGTAAACTGCTTACTTCACCAGAGTTTTGGTACAAAACTATACTGCCAGAGGTTGCTGTACAGCTCCTATTAAATGAGCATCTCTTCCCATTGGTTCGAAAAAGAAAGGAAGTTCCTTTTTGGTAGTGCAGCTGTTTCATTACATATTTGTCAATAAGAAAAAAATATTCTGGATTCAAGAATTGTAGAGTGATGATCTGTTTTTTTTTGTACCCATGCTAGCATGTAATTCAGTCAAAACGTTTTTTTTTATTCTTGCCTGTTAGCTGTGCTGTAAGCAAAAACTTTCATACTTAAACAGTTTATGAAAATTAGGCGATTTATTGTAACTTATTGAAACTTGTGAGTTAACACTATAGATGTGCAGAATACCTGCAATGACCTCAGTTCTAAACCGCTATACCTTTTAAACATTTAAACAAAAAACAGCATACTTTCAGTCGTTTATCAAGACGTATTAATAACCCTTATATAATGACACGCTTGGTATTTCCAATTGTATCCCATTTAATTAAATGTTTATTTTTATTCATGAACAATTTTAAACTTTTATATAAACTATGTTTTTAATTATCTGAGTTTCGTTATTTAATAAAAACAGCCACGCCTCTCAGTATGTACTGTACCTTTTGTTTATATATAATAAGATTTCTCATTATGTTCGGCATGGCTGCTCAAGCTTGCCAGGAACATTGAAGTGAAACTGAACAAACTATCACTATCTTAAATTGCTTATAATAATTGATTAAGAGTTGTAATTGTACAGAAATCTACATTCAATGTAGAAGGTAATCTATTGGATGATTTTAACAAAGATTATAATCATCACATTCTGCAGTAAAAAAAGGTAAATAGCATTACTGGAAGTCTTTTTTATTTAACATTGGAACACACATTGATATCTTCAGCTCTTTCACAATTTCTGTAATGTGGCGTTTGAAGGGTTTAATATGTTGGTGTTTCACTAAGTAAAGCTGTAATTGTTTCTTCAGCTTTCTTCATTATCTTCTTCATGAAGTGGTGTTGCTACATGATGTTTTTAAACTTATATTAACGGGGCCTCCACACGAGGGACATTGGCTAAGGTTAAAAAAGACAGTACATACAACATCAAACTGCCCATTAGAGAAACAATTCCATATTGGTTCTCCAAATATTCACTGAACATACATAAGTAGCACAGAAAAATGCAAAGGAGCAGGTAAAGGTCATTTCAATGCTGAAAGATTAAGCAAAGAAACACAAGGTTTCAGATGTGGAGCTTCACACCTCTCCACACCAGCAGGTCCACACCTGCACTTCTCCAAACCTGAAACTTTGTGTTTCTTTTATCTTTCAGCAAAATAAGGTTTAGCTTGAACCCATAAACAGAGTGAAAAACATGCTAGGAGAAATAGTTGTCAAGTCCTAGCAACTGTGACTGTTAATATAAAGTGAGCGCTGTCCTGTCTATTGATTCAGTTTTGCTTTCGTCTTGTGTCACTTCTGTCTTCAGTGCCACACTGGTTTGGTAGTATTACATTTAAGCATTTTCTTCAAATGTACATTAGCTCTCATTCTTTCCTTGATTATAGAATTTTCAAATGTTAGGTAAATACTGTATCTATAGTTTTAATCTATTTTACTACTTAACAAATGAACACTAGTACTATATATTATTACACAAAATTAAATGTCTCCAAATATTAGTGATAATAGTTGCTAGATCGGAAGTTCATTAATAAATACTCAATATTAGAATTATTCTTACTGTTTCAATAATTCACATATTGACACACAACAAAGAATTAATGATTTTTCTTTAATTTAATTGTATTTATTATTTCTCAAAGAAAGGTATTAAAGTGTAGAAATGTTTTTTTTTTTCATTTTCCATGCTTAGAAACAAGATGAAAGAAGGACATTTGCCACTAAAGGGGAGCAAATGCTAATCAAACACAACACAATTTTATTGGCTACTTTATAGTCTTGTTAATTACTGTTAACGAATTTTAAACATTTTTACACTTGCTCCAGGCAAGAATATTAAATAAATATTTAAATTAAGTTATGTGCTTGGGCTTCTTAATTTCTGTTGAATGAAAAGTGGTTTTAGCTGGAAGCGATGCAGTCAGCATTTTGGATTTCAAACAACAAGTAACAAAAGGTCTTCATTGACTTCTTCCAGAGAATTGCTAGCATCATCTCACCATATTTCAATTTTGCCAATGTCTTTTAAACATCTCCATCACACTGTCTGTAATGCTATACTGCTGTTGGGATCCCATTTCTTCTCTCTTGCTTCCTAAAACACGTTCTGTGTTGCTTTCTTTATAAACTACACTCCCTCCGCCGATTACATTTTCTCATTGACTATTAATACACAACTGTGATTTCACACGCGCTCCTGTGTGGTTCTCCAAACCCTGTGAGACTCTGGCTAATAAAATTATTCTCCTACACAATGTCCACCGGCCCCCCACCCGGATTCCCTCTTCAACACTACACCTCCACAACAACCTACACTGAAACCCCAAATACCCTGCACCCAAGTGACAAAACCATATTGCCTCCGACTGTGGCTAAGCAGGGGCTCACTTTCTGGCAAGAATTGTAGGAGACTTGTAGGAAACACACACTGGAGGCCAAACTGACATTCCTAACTTTTTCAAAGTACCATGGACCTGCTCTGTGTTCTCCTCTTTTCTCTCATGGAAGGATGCTAAATGATGCTTAAAAATACAAATTTTGCTTTTTACAGACAATTACATTACTGTTACTAAGTAAAATACAGCTGCACAACCTTCTGTTTTATGCATGCCAGTAAAATCAGAAAGCCAACTGGTATCCATCTCGAGGTCAGGATACTCCTCAACCACGCATTCCTGAGATAATGGGCTCATGTTTGGATTTTAACTGAGTTACAAAATGCCAAAAACAGTACTGCTCACATGAACTTCATTCATGTGTTAAGATTATAAAGCAATAACAGAACAGTATCCTAATTACATTTCTATTTGAGCAAGAAATAGTGACACTTGCTTCAGTAAGCTTAAGAATTTAATTTTGTTAAAACTGGAAAAGACAGACTTGTACCTCTTTGATAAGAGCATTGAGTACTTATGGCTTGCCCGAATTCAAGAGCCTCTTTTCTGATTCACGCAGTACACAACAAAAGTGCTTGTAGTTTTCAGGAAGCCAAGGAAAAGTAAATTTAAAACAGTTCTATGAATCATATTTTTTTCCTTGCCAAGTAGCTGGTATTTTTTTCCAATGAAATCTATTATGTCACATAGCAACACATTCAGTCTTCACTTTAAAACAAGAGTTACAGTACATGACTAAATATGTCATCACCACGTCTGTTAGACAATGCTCAGGATAACGGCGTGTGGTTGGGACTCACTCTGAGACACCCCTACATCCAAACCACATTTAGACAGCTCTAACAATAAGCAACAAACTTATTATGAAGTAACAACTAACAGACATCTTATCTGGAGTGCACAACATGTCCTGCTGCCTTCCCCCAGCCCCTGGGTGTGATCAGCTGAACCCACCTGTGGTTCAGTGTGATAACTGCTACAAGAACCCCCTGTGTCTTTTTACACAGTGAAATAGTTTTTTTTTACATGGTTGAACCTTCAGCAAACCTAAGGCAGGCATACCAGTTCTTCACAATATCGTACATGATAGGAGACATTACTACTATTCCAGCTTCATATCTGTGAAGGCCCTCAAATACAGGCAATTAGTTTAGGTATGTTTATATAATAAATAATAAAATAAATACTACATCAGACATGGTATGGAGACAAAATTCATAATGTCCGTGATTTACAGAGTATATGGACGAGAAGTCAGCACCACTACAATCAGTTTAACACTGAGACTTTCAATGATTATTTGTACTCTGTAGTGTACGACATGTTTGAAAAATACATCCTCTGATGCACCTGGACACATCATCAGAGATGTGTGATCTGGCATCACTGGGCATCTCAGGTCTTTCCATGTTAGACACCTCACCCCGGTAACCCATCCAGGCTTGATCAAGCCCAGGCTTGTGTCCAGGTGGCTTTGTTACCCACGGATCAAACCTCTTGATCCAGAGCCAAGAGGCTCATTCTGCAGCCTCTGTGGTGGTTTTGATGGTTTTGCTCGTCCCTGTTATGCCCAAAGACTGTGGGCTCTACAGAGGGACTGGCCTGCAAATTCTCTGCATCCTACCTTGATATGTTCACATCACACTCTGCAAACATTCAAACAGCACTGTTAACAAGGTCTTTGTGCTGTAAATGGCTCTCCTATGTCACGGTCTTCATCCCTCCTCTAGAGGGCACTCCGACCTTTTGTGATTTTCATTGTCACATTCACCTGCCCCCTGTTCTGTCCTTTATTCAAACCCGGTGCTCCGGAAGCTCAGGGATCTACATTGGAAGACGGACGCCCGGAGACTCGCTTAGCATCAAGTCGATCGGCATCCTGACCTAGCTGAGTTTGGGGCTCAGAGCGCCTGGCCTCGTCATTGATTTTAACCTCCTGTTCCTGTTCCGAATCCCGGTCCAGATTTTAACCCTGTCATGTCTTGGATGGATTACCCCGTTTTTGGATTTTGGACTGCGCCTGGATTTCCCATTTTGGACTTCCCTGGACTTGTTTGCCTGCGCTCCCCCCTTGCACCTGATCATTGCCAGTACCACCCCTTGTTCGCCATCCCTTCCTTTCCTAACTGTGTTTTCCCTGTAGCCCCTTTCCAGTCACTTCCAGATTATACTGTCTGCACAGGGTCCGAAACTACGCACTACACGGGAGTAAGGACCGGCTCCCATTACACTTACTTTCATTGGCCTCCTCCATCCCCTCTTCCCATGGCCACTATGATGGTGTAAGGGGACTTAAGCTGCTTCCCTAAATCAGCCTTCGGCTGCCAATCTATCGCAGTTGCCAGGGGACCCTCTGATACTTTAGGCTGTGGCTCCTAACCAGCTCTGACGAATGCAATGGCCAGATTTGCTGGGTACTGACGTTTACTGCTGTTGATATCCCTGCAAATAGTGTCCGCTAAGAACATCAGCACCTGGTGCCTGTGCCATTGAT